GAATTACATGTTTTATAATTTAAAAGTTAAGCTAAAATTTTAACAACCTCAACAGATTTAATTTAATTTAGCAAGTACATTTAAAATGAGATTCAAAGTATTTTTAAGGTACTTAGGCACATATTTTTCAGAAATATAAGTAATTGCATAATTATTAACTATATCCTATATTTCAAAGACCTTGTAATGTAAAGAGAGAGGAAATACAGATTTTTAACATCATTTTTAAACAACATCTAGGCTACAAAATTGTAATAGTTGCTGGTTTTTCCCATCTATCTTTATAGAACTTGGCATGTTTTTTATTTTCTTGATGACAATTTGGAAACTATTCCATTCCACAGGCATATATTTTTAACAGTACTTTAGATAGCCCACAACCTCTGAGGTTCCTGGATCTGTGAGTATTCTTGCTACTACCCTTAATCCTGTGTGTTCACCAATTTTAAGCAAATGAACAAGAACAACAACCAAAGAACCAATTTCTAATAAAATCAAGGAGACATGTAAATTAGTCTCCTTTACTTAGAAGGTGATCATTTAGATGTGGCCTTGAGGAAGGTAATGTTTACCTGAGTTCCACCAGAGGCTATGCGGGACCTGTCTAAGGAGGATTTAAAATAGCAGCCCCTGGAAGGAAACTGCCCCATATTTTCAAATGGATCACACTGTATAAAGCATGTAAAGTGGTCCCATGTTTTTTAAGTAAAGTTATACTTACCTCGAATAATGAAGAAAGAAATGTAAAAACTCAACTCTGCAAGAGTTTTATACACCCCCTCTGTAAGAGGGGTGTGTATGTGTGTGTGCGCGCACACACACATGTCTGTGATGTAAATTCTTCTCTCTCTAATAGACCAACAGTCTTCTACATCTTCTTCCCTAAAACCTTGGAGCAAAGCGTCCCTATGGCAAAACCATACTAAAATGTTCATAGTTTTGCCAGTCATTCTTCTGGAAATTTGAAACATCCCGCACTTTGGGGGCAGATTATTCAGTATTTCTGCAATTTCCTGCCTAGAGTTTTCTCACATTAGAAATCTTATATCATTCATATAAAGAAATCTATAATTTCTTTATACTAACATAACTTATAAAAGCTAAAATTATAAATCTATCTTTATAAATCGATAGATTGTACAGGAAAATTCAGCAGTCAGGCAGCAGCAGGAAACAGAAGACACATTCACATAGTTTAACTGAAACAGGTTTAATAAATAAATCTCTTTAATATGTGCTTGGTCTACATGTAGTTTAGTATGGTAAGGTTAGATCTAAACAACCAAAGAACATCAGCTTGGCTTTACTATTCTTAGAATCTCAGAGTAAATGTGGCCAGGCACGCTGGCTCACACCTATAATCCCAGCACTTTGAGAGGCTGAGGCAGGCGGATCACTTGAGGCCAGGAGTTCAAGACCAGCCTGGCCAACATGGAGAAACCACATCTCTACTAAAAATACAAAAATTAGCTGAGTGTGGTGGCACACGCTTGTAATCCCAGCTACTCGGGAGGCTGAGGCAGGAGAATCACTTGAACCCAGGAGGTGGAAGCTGCAGTGAGCCAAGATCACACCACTGCACTCCAGCCTAGTCGACAGAGTGAGACTCTGTCTTAAAAAAATCAGATAGATAGATAGATAGATAGAATAGATAGATAGGTGGTAGATAGATACTTAAATTATTTCATTGTTTAATGAAGCAGAAGTCATTTAGGTCTTGAAAAAAAATCTCAGATAAATTGGAACTAAGAATATTTTTCATAGAATTTTGAAAAGGAGTGTTATCTTCATTTGAACTGGTGGTCAGCTTGCAACTGGCCATGAAGAGGAAGAGAGGAGGAGGGAGAACAGAGAAGGAGCCCTAAACAAGACTTGTAAAGATAACTTCTTTCGTGTTGCACAAAGAAAAATACCTCAGATTACTCCCTAGCACATGAAGCTCTGTGCCTTTGCTGGGGTCTTACTTCACATAGCTCAAGTGTGCCCTCTGTAGTAGGAAAATTCATGGCCCTGCCCTTTCTGAAACTAGATTCCTTTGTTAGTGTCGGATGCACAAAACAGGCAAATGCCCCAGGCTTCCCACATAACCCACAGATTTTCTTGGATATGGATTAACTTTATCAGACTTGCCAGTTTACAAGAACTGTGCATTGTGAGTGACATGTACCCAGATCCTTTTGGCTTATCTATAAACTCCACCAGGATGGGGCCTGGGTACAGTGCCTGTGGGCTGGCTCAGTGCAAGGACTTGATACATATTCATTTAACCAATGAAAGACCATGTCTTATATTCCTATTATTCCCCCCCACATACACCATATGAAGCACAAGAGTAGAAAGTTAAGAGATTTTTTGTAGTAATTTCAATCCTGTAAGATGGATCCAAAGTTCAGTATTTATTTAGGTTTTTTTTTTTTTTTTTTTTAAATACTTTAAGTTCTAGGGTACATGTGCATAATGTGCATGTTTGTTACATATGTATACTTGTGCCATGTTGGTGTGCTGCACCCATCAACTCGTCAGCACCCATCACCTCGTCATTTACATCAGGTATAACTCCCAATGCAATCCCTCCCCCCTCCCCGTGACAGGCCCCGGTGTGTGATGTTCCTTCCCTGCTTCTGGAGATCCTGGCTGTAAATACTGATGACAGGTGAGGTATCACACTCCAGGGTAAAAATTGCTACTACCTCTTCCACACTGCCACCACTCTAAATAATTTCAGTCCTCAAATTTTAACCAGACCCCAGCACTTAATCCTTGAAAGGAATAGCACTGAAAACATGGTGCGCACACATTCTTTCTCATTTAACTGCAGAAAATGTAATAGAACTGAAGGTATAATTTTGACAGAATTTCTCAATGCTGGAAATTTTTTAATTTTATCCTTGTGAGTCTGAGAGTTTTCAGGAAAACTGAGTTTTTTAGGGTAGACACTCTGAAGCATAGACTTTTATTTTGTGGGGACATCTCTCTTTCAAAAGAAGTGATTTATGGAACTGATTCATAAGGAAATAATGTTAAAGACAACAGGGAATGTTGAATGATTAGATTTCATTCATTTATCTGCTTTGGGATAGGAATTAAGAGAGACTCTCCTGAGACATTGTGCAGACCTGTTGTGCCTTGTAAAATTGCTGGAATCTGTGTCTGAGTAATTAACAGCTTTGCACCTTTAAAAAGGAGCTCAAATATCTTTGGGTTGAAGCCTGGGGTGTGTGAGTGTAAGGGAAAGGCAAGGGCAGTGAATGATGAAAGAACCGAGCAACAGCCACCAGGAAGGGTTCTCATCACCCTGTCATTCAGGGCCAGAGTTTCTTCAGTTCAGGAAGAACGCAGCATGTTTAAAAGAGCCCAAAGACTGCAGGCATGAGCAGCACACTAAAAACCATTCACTTCCAGAAACAGACCACAGAGGTCCTGCATCTGCTAATACACCGAAAAGTCAAAACACTATTATCGAGAGAAATAAGTCATTTTATTAGTGCCAACTTCACTCTGTTCCAGGAATTGGGATATTTTGTAATTGAAAAATGAAATAAAGTCCAAAAAATGAAGTAATGGTAATTCTTTCTTTAGATGGATTCTAGCAATCACCATGTTTTATTCAAGCCTAATTCTGTTTCTATCTTTATTCAAGCTGTAGAGTTTTAAGATAGCCATTGGTAGATGGCATGTTATTTTAGCTCCCTTAATATTCACAAGATGTCTGAAAAGTTATTAGTACTAAATGTCTTTATTTGTTGTTTTGTCTAATGAGTTACTAAAGTAACTCTGGCGTCAAAACATCTTCATATAATAAAGATTATTTAGTAATGTAAATTTACCACTAATTGATCAGTTTGAGTAGATGATCTTTTAAGTAATATTGATTTGACTTTGAGGTCCAATTCAGTTCTGCTCATTAAAATACAAATGAATTAACCAACCATCATAAGTACTTTAATAAATATGGAAAGCATTTCTAGGAGTCAGCAGTATGACTTTCCTGTTTCAATAATAAGCATCTACACAGGTCACTTCCTATCGTGCATATTAACTTAATATAATCACCCTGGTAATAATCTGTTACTTGAAAGTTAAAGGAATGTTTCTAATCTGAATATCATTTTCATCTTTCCAGTTTACTCCAGACAGCAATATATCTGATTTATATATTTTTGGTTGTGTGTGTATGATAAAACAGGATCACTTCTCTCTGCTTCTTTGAACCCTGAAGTCAGATGACTTATCTTTCAAACTCTGTTAACCAACTGATGGGTCAAGTGATCCAAAACTGGATATGGTCAATAATATTCAAGTAACTTTACCTTCCAGACATAAACTCTGAAGAGTTCACCCTAAAGATCCTAGTTGTTCTGGTGAACTTCTTATTGCTAAACACTTCCAAAAATCTATGGACACATATGACCCAAAAACACACTATATAAAGTGTTGAAACAGATGTGACTTTATGTTTGACAAAATGAGTGTTACAGAAATATTTGTGTCAAAAAGCTTACAAGGGGGCAGGCGTGGTGGCTCATGCTTGTAAACCCAGCACTTTGGGAGGCTGAGACAGGTGGAACACTTGAGGCCAGGAGTTTGAGACCTGCCTGGCCAACATGGTGAAATGCTGTCTGTACTAAAATATACACAAAAAAATACCCGGGCCTGGTGGCATACATCTGTAATCCCAGCTACTTAGGAGACTGAGGCACCAGAATTGCTTGAACCTGGGATGCAGAGGTTGCAATGAACTGAGATCGCACCACTGCACTTCAGCCTCGGTGACACAGCGAGACTGTCTGGAAAAAAAAAAAAGGTTTTGCATGAAAATATGGAGAAATGAAGGAGCGTCATGAAGGGAGAGTCCCCACAGCAGTTAACCTGGGCTTCATAAGCAGAGTGGATGTGTGCGAGAGCACGTGTGTGTGTGTGTGTGGCGCACCGCATGGCTTCTCATCGTCATCATTGATTTCCTCCTCATCAATTAACACCTATTGATTCCTGTCTTCTAGATGACACAGGCTGTCCTAGCAGCCAGTCAGTGTCTCCTGTGAAGACACCCTCAGATGCTGGAAACAGCCCCATTGGCTTTTGCCCTGGAAGTGATGAAGACTTCACCAGAAAGAAATGCACGATTGGAATGGTTGGTGAAGGAAGCATTCAGTCCTCTCGATATAAGAAGGAATCAAAGTCAGGCCTTGTGAAACCAGGTCAGTGAACTTACTCGCCATGCTTTCATTAGAACAATGTGATGGGAGAAGTTTCACGTTTGAAACTAGACACCTGTATATCGAGTTGGGGATCACTAATACTGCACCCCGCATCCAAAGCATCATTTTGAAAGGAGGCAGGGTAGAAAGTGGACTATTGTCTGAAATGGTTTTTAATAACTGAGTAACTATAGTGACGTACAGTGACATGTGTATTCATTATAAAGAGTTTTTTTATGAAAAGAAACAAAAGTTGAAGAAATATAAGCTAGGTGTTTTAACAAACATTGAAACTATATGAGCAATTCTGGATTCAATTTTACTAAGCAATTAGTTAGTACTATCATAAGTGACCACAAACTGTGAAGAGAACAGGTTATCTCGATGCAAATCTCTGTAGAGCTGGGCATTATCTTGATGCAAATATGTAGAGCTGGGCATACTTGCTAACTTAGTTATAGTCTTTTCTTTTAGAGATTTAAATATGAATGTGATATGTATATACACACATAAATGTTCAATAATTACAAAATATTAGAAGCTATAAGATGAAATGGAGGTCATTACTGCAGTGAATGAAATGCCAGCAGCATCAGAAAAGGTCAATTCTTAGAGTCTGCACTATGTAAATGAATACTTTGTATCTCAGAAACATACATGCAGTAGATAAACAAAGATAGTTTTAGAGAAGCTGAAGTGATAACTTTAAAGTAAAAGGATGTGTTCATCGTCATTGGGAGGTATCCTCTATATTGCATTATTCTCTTTAACCGTCACAGTTATGCTATTCGTATTTACAAGCTGAAAAGACAGATTACTGGCTTGCATGAGTCCTCGTTTCTTACATTTGTCTTCTAAGTTTTTTTTTTTGTTTGTTTGGTTTTTTTGGTGCTGACGTTATTGTGCAAGGAGCTACAGATGGTTTATTGTGATGAGGCCAAGGCCTGGCCCTGTGTCCTCTTCCATAGGATGCTAGCATCCCTTTCTGCTTCTGTTCTTCCTGAGTCGTTGATGTACGCAATACATCATAATGAATTATTCTTCATCTTGCTTTTGTCAACCAAATATTAGGTCTTTTTGTCACCAAGGAAAACTCAAACTGTGAAAAAGAAATCCTCTGTTTCCTAGTGGTGCCTGATAAACGTTAGTTGTAATGAATTCGTTAATAGTCTCCCACTTTGGAATAACATGTAAAAGAAAAGGAATGCTACACAATGAAGAAGGAAAGACAGCCTATAAATGAGAAAGATGGGGATGGTACAAAGGGTGTTGAGTACCCTTGATATTTAAGAAAGAGACAGTGAGTTAAAGAATGTCATGAAATTTTAGCCAATAAATAAAACAATTACCTTGTGTACCCAAGGGCCAGGACTGTCTCCCTTAGCCCAACTGCCTTTTTGAAAAATTGAGATATGATTCATATACCATAAAACTCACCCTATAAAGTGTACAATTCAATAGTTTTTAGTCTATTCAAACTGTTGTGCAAACATCACCATTTACTAATTCTAAAAAGTTTGTATCACTCCCAAAAAGAAACCCCAAGTCCACCAGCACTCTGTTCCCCCTTTCCCCAGTCCCTGAAAAGCACTAACCTACTCTCCACCTCTATTTGCCGATTGTCAACATCTCAAACAAATGGAATTATACAATATGGGGGCTTTTGTACATGGCTTCTTTCCCTTAGAATAATGTTTACAATGTTCACCCATGTAGTGTGCATCAGTACTTCATATGTTTTTATTTTATTTTATTTTATTTTTTGAGACAGAGTCTCACTCTGTTGCCCAGACGAGTGCATTGGCACGATCTCGGCGCACGGCAACCTCCACCTCCCAGGTTCAACGGATTCTCCTGTCTCAGCCTCCCAAGTAGCTGGGACTACAGGCAAGCGCCACCATGCCTGACTAATTTTTTTTGTTTTTTTTTTTTAGTAGAGATGGGGTTTCCCCATTTTGGTCAGACTGGTCTCAAACTCCTGACCTCAAATGATCTGCCCGCCTCAGCCTCCCAAAGTGCTGGGATTACAGGCATGAGCCTCTGTGCCCGGCCCTCCCGTCATCTTTTGCATTCCCAGAACACAGGCTCTAGTGCACATTAGGGACTCAGTCAACATTTGTCCACCTCAACAGCAAAGGTGGGCTATGGGATTCAAAAGATAAAATGATGTAGGAAAGAATGTCAGCTTCATAGATTGAAAAAAAAAAAAAAAGTATGTTTCATCATGAAACTATTGTAGGGTTTGAACATAACCTGTAATGATTTTATTTTTGTTATCCTCATCCTACCCCCACCACCTCATTCCCAAAACATTTTATGGTGATGGCAATACAAGGAAACAGTAAAACAGTAGACAAGTATGGCACAGTAAGAACAAACTACGTCTATATGAGAGTTAATATTATCATGGCCCTTCCTTGTTTCAATAATCCTAATAATTATGTGTTAACAAAATACTTAAAACTCTGTGTATATATACAGAACTCACACTGAACATTTCCCTAATCCTGTAGAAAATACTCATTTGCTAAAGATCAGCCACTCATCTTGATGAGAAGTATTATGACTCTCCATCTTCATGAAGAAATTAAAGGGAATAGGCTGGGCGTGGTGGCTCACGCCTATAATCCCAGTACTTTGGGAGGCCGAGGCGGGTAGATCAGGAGGTCAGGAGTTCAAGACCAGCTTGGCCAATGTGGTGAAACCCCATCTCCACTAAAAATACAAAAATTAGCCAGGCATGGTGGTGTGCAACTGTAATCCCAACTACTCAGGAGGCTGAGGCAGGAGAATCGCTTGAACCCTGGAGGCGGAGGTTGCAGTGAGCCGAGATCATGTCACTGCACTCCAGCCTGGGCAACAGAGAGACTCTGTCTCAAAAAAAAAAAAAAAAATTACAGGGAATAAAGGAAGGATAAAAGGATGGAAGGAAGGAAAGAAAACAAAAACAGTTTTTCTTAATGCTGTTTTGATTCATGGATCGTTGAGAATCATTAAAACTATGCACCCATACCCCAGAAGAGTGTCCATATGCACAAAATATCACATACCGTATCAGGGGGTTCATGGATCTCATTTGTTAGCATTTATGAATCCTAGTTCAATGACCCTTCCCCAAAGCCAAAGCCTCAAACAACCACTTTTGTCAACTTTGTCAACTGCTTCTAATATAATTGCTCAGAGGCATAAATATCACCCGAGCAGTTTTTAGCTGGTGATCTTTTTATTTATTCATATTTAACCAAGGTAAAGGGGTCCTTAAAGCTTATTTTTTTAGTCGCTTAAAATTTCTAATGCATCACTGAAAAGGTTGCTACAACTTTTTTGAGTGTGACCCAATTCTGCACGGTAAGTTCTTTGACAAAAATCTGCACCATGACCTATAGTTCTCTGAACTTTTAGCAGAAAAACTGTCAGTCTCATAAATATGAAGAGAGGAAATCCTGGAAGCGAGACCCCTTGATGACTCTGAAATTTATAGAATCCAGAGACATAATCTGTTAAAACACAAGAGGATACTGCTCTCAGGTTAAAATGTCCTGCCTCCTCCATAGCCCCAAGCGACCATCTCCTCTCAGCCAAAACGGATCTTCAACTCTTGATGCATGCTCTACTTTTTTAAAAATAAGTCAACTCATTAATAACAATACCAATTTATTAAAATAGCAAGCAATTAGTGGCTCTTATACAGAGGCTCAGGGACTCTTTAACATTAAGTAACCTAAGCCCATTTAATTTTAGGTCTCTTGCTCTAGATTCTGGAACACTGCTGTTCACCTCAGGAAGGAGTTATTAAAATGCCCCTTTGGTCATTAAGATAAAGAGATAATAATGTTCCCTGACTGTATGATGCAGAAGAAGAAGGGAAATATGTCACAGGACATCGGGGAAGGGCTTGGAAAGGTGAACCGAGCAAGCCTGTACCTTGCCAACAGGGCCCGGCAGCACGCGCAGCAGGAAAGCCCTTCCTGTTTCCAGGCAGGAATTGGTTCTGGAAACTTCTTGGAGGCAGTGAGCCTTCTGTCATTTTGGCTTCTATCACTTAATGCCTATGCAGATTTAATTAAAAATTGCCACCAAGGAGCAAAAGAAAAACAGTCCTACAGTCCAGTTGGATGGTGGCTTTGTATTTTCATGTTTCTCTTTTGTCTACAACTCTGCAAAACACGCAAGGCTGAATCTGCAGAGCCTAATATTGTGTCTGTCATAAAGTATTAACGCTGTCCAATAAATACTTAAATGAGAAGCACAGTTTATACTTTGTGCAAGAGATTATGTTTTGTGTGGGAGGAGCGTGGGGAAGTTGTGACAAAGAACATCCTTCACAGCATCCCTGCTTTTAGGGAGCTTGTAACTTAAGGCAGAATACTGTATGATAAGTTTGGAATGTGGTACAGATTAAAAGAAGAGGAATGAAGGCTTTACAACTGGTAAACTTTTTAGGAATCTGGGGTGTTCCTTCTCCTGGGTGCTCCTCCCGTATTTAGTTTGCAGTCAGTTTCCTGATGAAACTCTTTTTACCTAGAAATGAAAGACCTACCTAATTGGATTACTTCCTTAGAATATTAAATGACAGTGCTGGGCCTCATTTAAGGCTTGACTTCCTACTTGGGGAATATCTGAAAGCAAGGAAGAAAAAGATCTAATGTCATTGTTTTACAAAGGGAAGTACTAAATCTTTTTGTCCACAAGGTTAATTAGAGAGGTGGGAAAACCATTACATAATTTAAACAAATAAGTAGAAAATGTGAAAGGAGAAAAGCACTGGAGGCGATTAAGGAGATTGGCAAAGAGCAAATGGTTAGAGTCACTAAAATTTAAAACAATCCACATTTAGAAACTGAAATGTTAAAATCTGCATGTGAAAGATGTCACTGTATCTCCTTAGCATTCAAACTAAGTTAGTATCCCCTTGTCATCAGACACTACCCCTGCTACTGAAATTGGAGACCTAGCTAAGCTGAACTCTAATAACCTTACAACAATAGCAGAGGATTGGT